TCCGGGAAGCCCGGGGACCCTGGCGCTGCGCAGCCCCCACCACGCGCTGGGACTCAGCAGCCGCTACCACCCCTACTCCAAGAGCCCGCTCCCCACCCCCGGTGCTCCTGTGCCGGTGCCCGCGGCCACCGGACCCTACTACTCCCCCTACGCCCTCTACGGACAGAGACTGACCACGGCCTCGGCGCTGGGCTATCAGTGAGGGGCGTCGCGAGGGCGAGCCGGGGAAAGAAAGGAGCTGGGGGGAGGGGAAGGGCCCCGGGAGGGGCGGGAACGGGGGGAGAAGCTACTGTCCCCCGTGAGTGGGGACGACCCGGGCCAGCAAAGGAAAAAAATATATATATACCGTATCTCTCTACCCGAAACAGCGGCCGAGACCCGGCGGGAAACTCCCCTTCCCCCCGCCTCCCCTGCCCACCCAAACTTTATAAAAGTTGAAAAAAAACTATCATTTGACTTTTTATAGAAAAAGAAGGAAAAAAATAATCGAGAAAGTGTTCATCTGAGGACTGCATCGGTGGACACTGGTATTTATTTATGTTAGCTCCAAGCGGACCCATGGTTCTAAAGTGCATTATTTAGTTTGAGCTCCGTAGATAAAAAGGAAGAGGGAGGGAAATTAAAAAGGAAGAGGGGGGATTTAAAAAAGGAAAAAACGAACCCTCCCATCCCTTGTAGATTATAAATAAATACAAAACCACCCCAGAACTAGAGGTCTTCTCTTTAATGTTACTTTAAAATTGCTATGATTGTATTGTACGTTCTTATTTAATGTCTGATTGAAACACAATTTACATGCATGTTTGTTACAAAAATGAAAAACAAAAACAAAACAAGTCACAATTTGTCAGCTCTGATTTCAAATTGCAATTATTTTTAAGGTGTATACCATTGGAAGAGAATGGGTATTTTTTTGTATGTATTCTGGAAGAAAACAAAAAAAAAAGGAAAAACAATTCTATTCCAAAACCTCATTTGCCTTATTTTTGTTCTTTAAAAGGAACACTTAACTATTTTTAATTTTTAAGTACACCCGCTGAAAAGGGGGCAAGTAAGGTTTACGTCATGTACTAAAATAATAGACAATGTATCGCTTTAAAGATTAAAATTCCGTATATTTGATGTATTAAAAGGTTTTACTTCTTATTACTATCTTTTTTATTTTTTTTTTTGGTTAAAGAGAAAGAAGAGCAAGGCGGCCGCAGTGGGCGCCCTGGGCCTCGTGCCCACCCCTGCCCAGGACCGCGGCCGCATTTCGATGGTTCTGCTGTGATTTTCCGGAAGAGGCCACGGCTTCGGAAGGGCTGCCCAGCAATGGGGTTGGTCTTAGGAGAAATATTTTTCAAGAGGGGATTTCACAATTGGAAAATATCTTGTCCTTAGCTGTCGCTCATTTCGTTTTTCTCTTTTCCTCCCAGCAGCCTGTTTATTAAAAGTGAAAGAAAATGATTTTTTAACAATTTCCTCTTGAGCTTTTTAGGAGTTTGGGTTTCGTTTTGAACAGAGCAGCGCAGGCCACGACTCGCCCGCCGGCCTCGGCCCCGGGGAGGTGCCGCGCGCGGCCCGCCGCTCCTCCCTTTGCCTCCCAAGTATCCCCGGTCCCGGTCCCGGTCCCGGTCCCGGTCCCGGGCCGCAGCGGGACAGGCTGGGGGACCGAGGACGCTCGGGAACCTGTTTCCCGGGGCTCGAGAGAGCGCGCCCAAACCCTGCCCTCTCTCCTGGGAAAGTGAGTTTGCTGTCCTTTTCCTCTTCCGGCTGCCCGGGGCCAGAGGTGGCCGCCAGCCGACCCTCTCAGAGCTCCTTCCTCTCCGGAGTCTGGGCGCGCGGCTGGCCGGCGCCGCGGCTGTTTGTCCGCGTCCCGATCCCTCCGCCGCCGGCGCTCCGTCCCGGTCTGTGCCGCCGGAGAGTGCGCCGGGACAGGGGACCCGGAAGCCCCTTCCAACTCT